TTTTTTTTTTTTTTTTTTTTTTTTTTTATCATTTGCGTGATAAAAAAAATGGTACGGAACTGATGAGGCCATTTTGATAAGCGACATTAATGTTAAGCTAAATGCAAAGTGATGCTAACTTTAATCATAGATTTGTATGTTGGACATTGCAGACCTCTTATTATATCTGTAAGATTTTGCACCTCTGTCTTATTTGTACATTTTTGCACATTGAATGTTACTGAATTGCTGATATTAACGTTGACGTCCGTTATGCCTAAGACCTTTAACGTTATTATTGTAAGTTTTCATGGTTAAGATGTGGCTAAGTTTCCTGAACACGCTTCGAGTGATATATATATATACATGTGTGCGTGTGTGTGTGTGCGTGTGCGCGCGCGCGCTATAAAAAAAACAAAATTAATTTCTAATTTATTTACAAAGAGGATCTACATTGTGCAAATTTTCACAACATCATCTCTTTTATATTGTTAATAGAAAATTGATTTGTTCTATAACAATTGAAATAAAAGTTAACGTTCTCTTTTGTTATTTTTCAAAGGGAGGAAAGAAAGTTGTACATAGTTTGTGGACTGGTTTTTTTTTATAATATTAATTTAATAACTTAGCATTTTTTGAAGTTTTTGTACTAATTTCTTGAAAAATGAGAGACGGAGAAAGAATTGAAAAAAGAGTGGGTCGCATCGCGAAAGTCTGATGCGCTAACAAAAAAAGTAGAAATATATATAATCGACCTAAAAATAAATCGTACTTCATTGTCCCGTTGTGTACCGCAGACGTAGGCGCCATAAAGCGATTTAGACGATTTTTTTTTTTTTCAGCGTGATCGAATATGTAATCAGGAAACTAAGTCTTAAGAATTTATCAAGGAAACGCTGGATGTTTCCGCGTAAGTCTCGTATATAATATGATATATAATTAATGTCGTTCATATATAGGCTGTCGTAGTTATACGAAAAAAATATCTCGTGTATGAGTTATATGTTATTACATCATATAGACGAAACACACACATACACACAAACACACATACATACACACACCATCTTGTTAAGTTGTTTAGGAAGAGAAGAAAAAAGAGAGCAAAAAGACGTCACTGATCGAACGAAGAAGTGATCGCGCGATTTTCAACATTATACATGTGAATTCTCCTTCTTGTAAGAGCCAATCGTAGACTAAAAACGTGGTGCGTATTATGTAGCGTTAATAATTATATATAAACGAGAATACTTTTATTCGCGAGTGTGTATGTGCGACATGTGTCGGTGTGCGTGCAACTTTTTATTTGTGTGAGTATATACATATATATATATATATATAAGAGTTTGTTCGACTTTGGATGAGTTATGATGTACAAAAAAAAAAAAGTGAGAGATACACTTTGTTAACAGTTAAAAGAAATCCGTGCGTATAAAATTTATGATTTCGTAATTTGTAAGATCTCCATATCTTACATGTGATTCGGTGTGAATGAAATTAGTCAAAAATTGTCGACGATTATTATCGAATTTATCTTTCGTGTTGATTCGCGTTGCAGATTGTTTTTTTTTTTTTATTATTAGTCCCTTTACATCAGTTGTGTGATGCATATAGTGAGAGAAAAGAAAGAAGGCGAGCGTGCTATCTATTAAGATGTTAGTTTTTTTTTTTTTTTTTTTTTTTTCACTTTTTTTTACTGTCACGTAACACAGTAATTCTTTCTTCGAATATAAATGGCTATTGTGCTCTTGTATGCGTGGCAGTTTGGGATAAGAATACGATGTTGTATGTACATTTAAAACTACGCATTTCTCGCATTAATATCAGAAAAAAAAACAAACGATTGTAACTTGGAATGTGATTGTAACAAAATTCAAATTTGCATAAATGTCACTGATTTATCGCCTTGAACCCCAATTTTTTCATTTACAAATCTAATTTGCTTTTTATTATCTGCGTATATATATATATTGTAAAATTACTACATATTATTTTCCTATGTATTTTTTTTTTTTTTTTTTTTTTTATTATTACTTAACGCATTATTTTTGTGTGTGTGATTCACAACCCAGCAAACACAAAGTAACGGTAACGTAACATTGATGTTATAATTTTCCACTCAACGATGTAACCGCAATGTAACACACGCCTTGTACGTAGCAGTTGCATTGTTGAGTGGGAAATTTATATATTACGTAACTGTTACTTTGTGTTTACTGGAAAAGATATGTCGCATGTAACATTTAAGTACTGAAAGATCTCTCTTTGAGCATAATGACGTAATATATCTCGAAAGAAGTAAATAAAAAGTTATCGAGCTGTAGAGGCTTTCAGATGGCCGCATATGCTATTATATATTTGTGTACTTTCCCAGATAGCCAACTGAGTGCAAGTTCCCGGGAAAACATGGAGTAGATCTAACTTAAATTTAACGAGATAGAAAAAATGGAAAAATAGATCTAATTAAATCCAAATTAAATTTAAATAGATATAAAGTAAATCTAAATAAATATAAGTAGATAAATATAAGATCTATTAAATTTACACTTTTATATATTATTAAATCTACTTTAGATCTACTCAGATCTACTATAATTAAAACTACTCAGATTTAGTTAGATTTGATTTAGTTAGAGCTGATCTGAACAGATCTAAGGTGATCTAATATAATAGATCTGAGTAGATCAAGAGTAGATGTAATAATAAATAAAAGTGTAAATTTCCATAGATCTACTTATATTTATTTAGATCTACTTTATATTTATTTAGATCTATTTTATATCTATTTAGATTTAATTTGGATCTAATTAGATCCATTTTTCCATTTTTTTATCTCGTTAGATTTAAATTAGATCTAATCCATTTTTTCTCGGGTTGTTGGCAACTTGCCACCAAATATTACTCATATGTTTTCAGCAATGCAACAAAAGAGTGTATCCTCTTTTCAGTATGTTCTTGCCAGCAACACAGTTTTCAAGATATAATAACAGCAAGTTCTCAACAACTCATCGGCAATAAACTTATATTATTTTTCTCAACTTGTGAATAAAAATCATTGCTCACATATTGCTCACACATTGCTGACTCACATGTCATAAACATTGGCTACAACAATTGATTGATAATAAAACTCAGCAAATTGATACTGAATTGACAAAAACATTTTCGTTGCGTTAAATAAAAACAACACAACAGCAATTGGCGAACAACTTAATCTATACAATAATTTGCTTTATATTGAATTTTCACATTTGGCTATCTGGGTTTGTGTATGTGTTTTTTCGTTCCGTTATATGTTTCTTGTACGTAGAAACTGCACAGAACACCAGAAGAAAAGTGTGATATCTATATTATTTTCCTACGCTGACGTTTGCATCACTTGACACACAGAGGTATCAAAAGCGAAATACACAAGGTCTGAGAAAAAAACACGTTGGGTTTCACGACGAGACTCGTTTCAACCCGTTAAAAAATTGCCAGCGAACACGTTGAACGTTTTTTTCTTCCGGTTAATGAAACGGGACACCGGAAGTATAGTTCGTTGAACAGTTTTATTTGAAGACTATAATAGAACTTTATATACGCGCTACACCGGCATAAACACACACACACACAGCGCTAATATAACAAATTATCTTTATTAGACTTCTCTAATAGTAACTAATTGACATTTTATGCTTCAATTCATATATTGTGCTTATACGTCTTACACAAATCTTCTTCCGCGCTTCTTCAAGTATACACAGATATCGCTTTATATAGATTTTCTCACGTATTCCCGAGAAAAAATGGATTAGATCTAATTTAAATCTAACAAGATCAAAAAAATGGAAAAATAGATCTAATTAGATCCAAATTAAGTCTAAATAGATATAAAATGGATCGAAATAAATATAAAGTAGATCTAAATAAATATAAGTAGATCTATTAAATTTACACTTTTATATATTATTAAATCTACTTTAGATCTACTCACAATCAGATCTATTATAATTAAAACTACTCAGATTTAGTTAGATTTGAGCAGATCTGAACAGATCTGAGATGATCTAATATAATAGATCTGAGTAGATCTAATAATAAATAAAAGTGTAAATTTCCATAGATCTACTTATATTTAGTTAAATCTACTTTATATCTATTTAGATTTAATTTGGATCTAATTAGATCTATTTTTCCATTTTTTTATCTCGTTAAATTTAAGTAAATTTATGGAAAGTTGCACTTTTATTTATTGTTAGATCTACTCTTGATCTTCTCAGATCTATTATATATTAGATCACCTCAGATCTATTCTGATCAAATCTAATCTAATCTGATCTGCTCAAATCTAACTAAATCTGAGTAGTTTTAATTATAGTAGATCTGAGTAGATCTAAAGTAGATTTAATAATATATTAAGGTGTAAAGTTAATAGATCTGCTTATATTTATTTAGATCTACTTTATATTAATTTAGATCTACTTTATATTTATTTAGATCCACTTTATATCTATTTAGATTTAATTTGGATCTAATTAGATCTATTTTTCCATTTTTTTTTGATCTCGTTAAATTTAAGTTAGATCTAATCCATTTTTTCCCGTGGATTCAATATTATTTTGCACATATACAGAATTCATTCGGTTTATTCAATATAAAAGAGAACTTCCGCAGCTCGAATTTTTTTATTTACTTCTCTCGAGATATATATTACGTCATTATTGCTCGAAGAGAGATCTTTCAGTATTTAATGTTACATGTGCGACGTATCTCTTTGTGAATCACTCTCTATATATCCACAGAGAGAGAGATACGCTGCTGTGTGCGTGCGTGCACGTTCGTGTGCGAATGCACGACCCACGCGTGCACGTTCCAAAGCTGGTTCGACTTCGTTCAGTGCGATTCGAAGCGGTCTACCGAGAGAAACCGCGTGAAAATGAGACTCGTTCTTCCTTTCGTATTGCTTCTTCTTGTAGCGTGCGCGTGTTGCGGCGGCGCCGACAACGAGATCGAGACCAACGAGATCGAGCACGACGAATCGATCCTAAGCGAGACGCAACACGTGCGTAATGTCACGCTCGCCGATATCTTCGAGAACGCGATCCAAGCCTATCTTGAGGACAACTGGGACGAATGTGTCGCGGGATTTACCGAAGCTCTGCACGGGTGCGTTGTTACAGTTTTATCCTACCGGCCGTTTAACAACACATAGGTACTTTTGCGGAAACTCGATGTATATATACGTATATAATTTTTTCAATTAATTTTACAATTTATTAAAACATCACAGAAAATATTCTATATAAGTATTATAGAATATTTCTATAATTATATTAGAATATTTAAATTTTTTTATTATAGAATATTCTATAATTATTATCAGACAAGATAATTTTTTAAATGGAAAATAATATGAACAATTGAACACTACTGCTTATATAAAGGTGGATAAAAATTGTAATTTGTGTATATATAATATATGAGCTTT